GAATATAGTTAATATCCTGATAAAAAGTTGATAGCGTTATTAAGATTCCATCATAATAACGATATCGAACGATATTTTTAGTTTATTACGATATCTTGATAAAAAAAAATCGTGAGCACAGCTATACTTGAAGGTTTATTAAAAAGTGCTTGAATATTTTTCGCCAATTTTAATTTAAGGCATAATTTAATCCTACATTCACTTGATACGTATTTTTTTTGGATTGAGTCAGCTTTCCCATTTCAGCCAAAATCAGCATCAGCCTAAACGGGGAGAAATGATTTAACCCGAATTTCGCAGCTACTTATCTCTAGCGAAATATGTTCGCAAATCTCATACAAAATTATGAATGCTCAACGTATACAGAGGCGTTGCCATTCTTCTATAAGTGAGCATTTGACTCTCCGATGACGTCAATCTTGAAATGATAGAGCTGTTTTTGAACGGATAGCAAAATTGGCATCAAAACTGATCTTGTGTGGAAAACAAATGACCGACGACTGTAAATGAGATCCACTAATTAGAAGGATTATCATTTTTCTCATTATAATAAGTGACTTTAGTTAACTGAAAAGATGTTTTTTATGAAAAATAGTAAACTACGATGAAATTTTATCCAGTCGCATAATTTGGGATTTGCGAATATATTTTTCGAAAGATAAGTTGTCGCGAAATTCGGGTTGAATCATTTCTCCCCGTTCAGACTGATGCCAATTTTGGCTGAAATGAGATAACTGACTCAAGCAAAAATACCAATCAAGTGAATGCAGGATTATGTTATGAGTTAAAACGAAATCTCAGTCGTTGTTTTTTTCGTTAAATTTTATGCATCGCAACCAGATTACCTCGCTACTAATAAATTTCGAGTTCTTTGAAGCCTTAAATTAAAATTGGCGAAAAATATTCAAGCAATTTTTAATAAACCTTCAAGTGATAAATTCGTAACATTCGTTACCATGTCAAACCATTGGAATGTGAAACCAAGTTTTGGCACCAGTCAGCCGCAACCCACTGAGTATCTTCCATCTGAAGACTTCCCCGCATCCGGAAAAGTTGATTTTTTATTTTTTAATAACTTTTTTAATTCAACCAATTCAAGATATCATTTGATTATTTTTAGAATGTACTATAACAGAGCTACCACATGAAAATTGCTCAGCTCAATATACTCCATCTTCAGCTCATTCTCAATCGAATAAACAGTTTCAATCAACACCAATTGATACTCAATCGCAATCAATGCCAATGGTAATGCCAATGGTAATGCCAATGCCAATGCTCATAGCCACTTCACCGCAATCATATCCGATTGCCAATCAACCCCAGCCTAATCCAAATCCAAATCCTGGTAATTAAATATTAATTTGATTTTCAATCCACCAATTTGGATGACGATTTGTACATTTCTCAAATAGATGGTGGGATTCATGTGACTGAAAACAAGATTGAGGATAAATCGGATAAAGATGCATGTTGCTGTCTTTGCCTTGTATGTGTCCAACTATGTTTCCAAGCTATACTTGGTGCATTGTAATAACGAATTTTATTACTTTTCCGCAAACTTTGTTTGTATGGAAAAGTATTGGTTTTACTAGCCAAAATTTCATGACATCTCCTCTTTCGGACCACTATAACGTCACGCCAAACTTGAAAAAGCACATATCTGTACACTAGGCAATGTAGATGGGATGAAATCCTATCAATCAAGACCTATCTACCCCCAAAAACATGTTGTTTACTATAAAATATGTGCAAAATAGCGATGTGCGTATGGCGTCGTTCGCGTCCGCGTCCGCGTTCGCGTTTTTTGTTCGCCGATTATCTCAAAAAGTTGACACGATAATTGAGATCTGTAAAAGCCAAAAGTTTTGGCATGTCGAGACAAAGCTTCGGATTGATTTTGAGTCCATTCTGATTTACCAATTTCGTACCATAAGCCTCCGACTCAGGACCTGAAAAACCTTGAAAAATGACACTTTTGTACGGGAAGTACCCGAAAAAAGCATTTTTCAGGGTTTTGATCAAGGCAAACTGCCATTGTTTTGCAAAAATAATGGGAGTCTGTGAACAACCGAACACCTACTTGCCCATAAATTTGGTCCAAAATCGACATTTCTTGAAATTTTCCTCGAAAAATAGACTTTAGTATGAAAAATCACTCAGAAAGCCATTTTTTAAGGTTTTGGTCAAAGCAGACTGATGTTTTTTTGCAAAAATAATGGGAGTTTTCAAACAACCGAACACTTACTTGCCCATAAATTTGGTCCGAAATCAACATTTCTTGAAATTTTTGAAATTTTGTTCGAAAATGACACTTTTGTATGGAAAATGGTCGAAAGTGTTATTTTTTTAGGTCAAAAACGCTATGAAAAAAGGGTCCATTGAAATTTTGGTTAAACATTAAGCGGGAGGTAAACTAAATTGCTGCGGAGCGGAAAAGTTTGGATTACGTATGTAATTCGTTTTATTTTCATACAGCGATAAGAAAAATCTTAAAATTTCAATTCGTTTTTTTTTTTGTTCAAATCACACAAAAACTGTTTTTCAATCATTTGAGGCTGTGAGAATGAAAATGGAAATACAGGAATAAACATTCTGAAGCGCATCAAGAAAAAAAAATTAGCAAAAATGAATCATGAGTTCTGAATATGCAAAAGTGAAACATGAATTTACATGGGCAGCATAGGAGGTTCATGGTTCTCTTTTGCGTATTCAGAACTCATGATTCACTTTTGCGAATTTTTTTTTCTTGATGCGCTTCAGAATGTTTATTCCTGTATTGCCATTTTCATTCTCACAGCCTCATTTGATACATTTGCATGTTCCAAATTACTCATTTCGAATAAAATCTCTACTTATTTACCTACTCAGCAGAAAATAAACTGTTTATAACGAATAAAATGGTATAAAAATCATTGAAAATGAACAAAAAAAATGGAATAAAAACCGTTGAGTGTGAACATTTGCGAATAAATTTTTGAATGGTCAATGTGACACATCTTGATTCTGTATACTATAAATACATATCGTATTACCATATCCATTCCCGCAATATTCTATCCATAAGCAACCGTTACCGTCTATCATTGCTCGAATGCGCAATACCAAAAAAAAAATGAAATGTCAACGTAACCATATCTGTCAAATAAATAGTGTGAATACGAGTATTGGCCACGATTGCTCTTGTTATTTTCTCGTTCCATCTTGCAACTACTGTTTTTTGCTGTCAAAATGCTAAATTCTTGAGATTTACGATTCATTCAAAGTTCTTCACTTTATTCGAATAAGATTGGTTCAAAGCTTTAATATTTTATTCATTCGTCTTTCCGATGAGTTGCAGTTATGATTGTAACTGCGACAGTAAACAGCCCCATGCAGGTCATTCATTTCCAGAATGTGTAAGCATAATCATTTTTTGTGTGTGTTTATTTTTGTTTGTTGTTTTGAACGGCTTTTGTTAGATAAAAATAATATAAACGATAATATTTTCAATGTAATTCGAAGTAAAAAAAGTCGAGTGTTGACGTCTTATATAATAGAGTAAACAAATTGTCGAGCTTCGTTTCAGTGAAAACTTCAGAGGTCACATCAATTTGTTTTTCATCCAATTTTCTGATGATTTACTCATAATTTCAGAAAAATTCGACCGAATCAGTGCAATGTTGCTCAGAAAACTCAGAGCGATTGCAATCAGATCCTATCGTCTCCCAACCACAACAGTCAGACGTAAATCCGAGTAAGTAAACATTCCTCTTGTATGATTAAACATTTATATATGTCCCATTTTTGGCAATCTCGTTGAATAATTCTTTTTGAGCAAGTTAGCAAGTTATCAAAGTGAATTTATCTTATTTCAACTCTATACATGGAATGAATAAACTGAATCATCGCCAAATCATGCATTCGGTCATGAGATTTCATTAGAAACGACGCAATATTCTAATAAAAAAAAAAAACATTCGTCATAAAGAGACGGAAAAAAGTGCGTGACACATGTAATTTGATACTCTACACTGTTAGCACATAGCACAAACAAAACAGTCACGTGGTCTTGTGATTCCCCTCTGTTACATCGTGTGTCAATGACACTTGTTGGTCTTGCGCAATCGATTCGATTTCGAACTTCTCCAAATGTCTTGCAAGCGACACTTGTTGAGTGCATTCTTCGGGTTTTTTTTTCCTCGGTCAAGAAACGAAGTGATGAGAAATGGCTTTTATTTATTTGCAAGTTTTCGCGTCTACTTAAATAAACCGACGGTTTTAACCGAGGAGGAAATCACTCTAAAGTAATTTGTAGTCGAGAAAATAATAGAGAAGTAATCGAAAAGTAATCCACGTGTGAAAATCGAAAAGTAATCAAGGAAAAACATGTTTTGTCTCGATTACTTTTCGATTACTTCTCTATTATTTTCTCGAATACAAATTACTTAAGAGTGATTTCCCCCTCGGTTTTAACAGTTTAACAGTATTTTATATTTTGTCAATTTCCAGTTTATATTCAAAGTCAGTCAGTGGTTTATGAAGAGAATTGAGAAATGATGTCTCTTTTACGCATGAACCGTCTATAGTTGATTCAATTTGATTAGTAGTTTCCCGCATATGGATTTTTTCTGAAAGAAAGGAAAGAAACCACCCTTTCGTCCAAATTTTTTATTCAAATCCAAAAAAAAAAAATGAATTGACAAACGAATTTTTACAGGTGATTGGTTGGATATTCCAAGCGAACCTCTGAATTGTCCACCCGGTTTGGAGTATTTAGCTTCAGTGGATCAGCTTTTGTTTAACCAAAAAGTGGAGTTTTTCGCTGGATTCGAGAAAAATGTCAAGTTTGACATCAAAAATGCATCAGGCCAAATCGTAAGGAATTTTTCTGATTACTTTTCGTCCCGGTTATCCGGTTTCATTTTTATTTATGTGCGATTTTTTTCCATCATATAACAATGTGAGTGTTTTTCGTATTTTTTTTTCAAAGTTTTTCTCATTTTTTACATTTTTCCTTCTTTTTAATTTTTATTTTCTGATGTAAAGTTTTCGTATAAAAATCATAAACAGCCGGTGGTTTTACTCTTTTCCTTTTGTTCGTTATTTTCTCTTTCTTTTGTTGGATTTTATGATTTAAACTTTAACTTTGTTCATTTTTCTATGAACTTTAATCGAATCTTTGCCAATTTTCCTCTAATAAAACTGATTTAAATCAGGTGTACTGGGCTGCCGAAGGTAATGATGTTTTCACTCGATGCTGTTGCGGTTCGAATCGACCATTTGATATGAAAGTGCTTGACGGTTACAAAAGGGAGGTGATGCACTTACAAAGACCGTGCACTTGTTCGGGTTTCTGTGGTCCTCATTTTCCTGAACTGTTAGAGGTGTCAGCGCCTCCCGGTCAATTGATAGGAAAGATTGAAGAAGACCTGAGCTATCCACAATTTTTGATAAAAAATCCCGTAGACGATACGATATTACGTATTGAAGGTCCACTTTGTGCATATCCGAACGGTAGCAATGTCGAATTTCAGGTGAGTTAAAGCAAACATTATGCATGCCTAGTAATTGGTAAAATGTTTCATTGTTTGGTGCATTGCAACAACAAGAGTCAACCATATTGACAGTCAAAACTGTTTGTAATTACAAATTAAACTAAGAGTACTAGAAAATAAAATGAAAAAAAACCTGCTTTATTTATCAACGCGGTAAACTTATTTGTTGCATGTAAATGTGAATTCATAGTTAAGCCATAGTGAACTTGTACAAAAATCCTCTTTGTAACTAGTTAATTCCAAAGCATTCAAATTTTCTGATTGATTTGTTGTGACTGCAGGTTCTTTCTTTGAACGGTGCCCAGGTTGGTAAGATATCGAAGCAAGGACTTGGTCTATCGCACGAAACATCCAATGAAGCGGATAATTTTAGCATTAATTTTTCGATTAATTTAGATGTCCAGCTAAAAGCCATCATTATTGGAGCTTGCATTTTTATTGTAAATTTTTTTTTTTTGGCTGCAACTTAATGTCTGACTTCATACTTAAAATTCCGTTTTTTTCCCCTTTCTCTATAGGATTCCATGTTTTTTGAACGTACGAAGGATAACGATTGAATGTTCTGACTATCTTGAATCAAAAATCTTCTTTGACCCGTTCAAAAACTAACTAATTTTATTGACCTAATTCATGTTTAGCTGAAGAAAAAAAAAACAACAAATTTTTCAAGCATTCCATCCAAATATAGAAACCTGGCTGCCATCTCAGCAAACACACAAATACTTTTCCCAACCAACTCTTGACGCGGAAGAGTGAAAAATTATGCATTTCATGCTTGTAACAAATTCCGTAGCCTTGTACAATTGTTATGCAATTTTATCAAAGATTTGTTTTGAATTTTAAAATCGGTGTAGATATTTGTTAGGCTTCAATCGTAGGACAGATTTAAATTTTAAATCATAATATGAATAAAATTATTTTTTCGGAATAAATTGCGGATTTTTTCAATTAAAACGGGAACATATTACGTTATACGAATTAAATGCATTTCTGTTTGAAGTCTCCATTTTTTGCTATTAAATCGATCGGATTGGAATCATACAGTGGTTGGTGAGAGATGTTTGGAATAATATTTTAAAGCGACTACATTAAATAGTTTATTCAAAATGACTGCGACACCATAAAAATGCACAAAATTATCTAGTTAATGATATGGAAGATATAATCAGGTTTGATGTAAATGATTGATATTAATGTATAAGTAATTGCGTGCATTTTGTCTATTTTATATTATGGACACAGATTATTATCAGCTCTGTTCGGATCGTGTGCGCAAATGCACATAATAACCATAGAACACGTATGCACAATGCACATTTTCCATCGATAACGTGAACAGTAGGAACCTCGACCTAGGAGTGTTCGTTGTCAATTTGTCTGGCTGAATTAGGAAGAAAAAAGTTCATAAAATTTGGGATTTTTGACTTGGAAAACACTTTTCAATTCATTTGAATCGAGATTACTCTATTCGAAGTTTGAAATTTGATTTCAAACTGCGATTCAAAATTGTGTCTCTTTAGTTTTTATGTTATTTCGAACTAAACATATAACATATTTTCAATTATTTTGTTTGTGATTAACTGGTTCTTAGTTATCATCGAAATTTGCTTACATCAATTGAAATCACATTGTGAAATATCTGTTCGTTTGATAGAATGCATTGCAACCATGGATCCGATTGCAATGGCAAATATTGCAATGCAGTTCCTCCGCTACAAGTAAGTCACTTTTTACAGTGACCTATTAGTTTTTATTTAAAACTTTTTTAATTTATCAAAATAATTTAATTGGATATTTTGACGATTTTACTTTGTTTTTGCTGAAATTAAGAAAAAAAAAACAAATTCTTCAATTACTCAAAAATGAATTTCAATTCGTTTTTTGCATTTCATTATTTATAATAGGGTAAAAATAGACCATTTTTAAATGCAATGTCCGTTCCAAGTACTATTCCAATTTTGATTTTATAGCAAATATTTAACATTAGAAAAAATAATTTTATTTATAACATTTTTCATGCGTTTCAAATCATGACAGTACAATTCATACAATCAGAATGCTTCTGAAAGATCAATTCAGTATGGTCCTCCATCCTATTCACAACAACAAAATTTCTACCATCCAAATCCAATCATCTCCCAACCACGACTACAAGCAACTCCAAGTAAGTCATTCAATGTTGATGTGATTGTTGTGTTCGGTGGTTTTGGTATCGAAAGAATGCAAATAAACATACTGGCTGCTTTCATTTGAAGCTCTATGTCTCCTTATTCATAAGGAGAATTGATTTCCACTTTCATTTGAGTGCCTGTGTGTAAATCAAAAATATCTGGATTTTGCGCATTCCACATGTTTTGTTTTCGCATATCAGATTGCATCCCTTTATTTTGGTTGACTGCACTTGTTGTGTGATTGTTTACACTTTCATTCAGATGGAATTTTTTGCTTTCTACCAGAGAGCATATATGTACAAGTTTCGAAGAAATTTTGTTATGAAAAATCAAAAATTCAAATGCTAATAAAATCAAATCATTGGAAAAGAAACTATCAGTAACTAAAAAGTACCATTTGTATATGAATAGGTGGCTGGATGAATATGCCGACCAATGTCAATCCAATCTGTTCACCGGGTTTGGAATATCTAGCATTAATCGATCAACTGTTGGTCCATCAGAAGATTGAACTATTCGAAGCATTTACTGGCTTTCAAACGAATAATAAATACGTCATCCGAAATACGTTGGGTCAAAATGTAAGACATTCCTTCAAATGGTTGAGTTTTGTTCAACTTTATTCGATTTTTGCTTTTGAAACTAATATTTGTAACATCATATTCGTTATTATCATTCTTTAATTTAAATCAAATTCCATTCTGTGCCTTTCTTCCCCTTGCAACCAGGTGTACTGGGCCATTGAAAAAAGTGATTTCTGCAATCGATTGTGCTGCGGTCCATCTCGATCATTCAATATGCAAATTACGGATGCTTATCAACAGGAAGTGATCCATTTGTATCGTCCGTTGGCCTGTTCGAGCTGTTGTTTCCCTTGCTGTTTGCAATCAATCGAAATATCCGCACCCGTTGGTAATATCATCGGGATCATTAACCAAGAATGGACATTATGTTACCCAAATTTCACCGTCAAAAATGATGTCGGTGAAACTGTTCTACGCATCGAAGGACCGTTTTTGTCCTTTTCATGTGGTCGAGATGTTGAATTTAAGGTGAAATCCCATAAGCTTTGACGGAAAACAAATCGCAAATGGAAAACTGATCGATTCAATTACAGATTCTTTCATTGGAAGGCACTCAGGTCGGAAAAATATCGAAACAATGGTCAGGCTTGGCACGCGAATTTTTTACCGAAGCTGACAACTTTGGGATCAGTTTTCCAATGGATTTGGATGTTCGCATGAAAGCTGTCATGCTGGGAGCCTGCATTTTGATTGTAATTCACACGAATAATTATTCAATTTTCCACTCAGAACATTCAAGTTTTGACCATTTTTTTAACGCTAAATTCTTTTTTAGGATATGATATTTTATGAAAACAGTGGACAATATGGAAATGCCATAGCCAGTTTTGTTACTTAACCCTCAATTGCATGAATTTTTCCCAGGACTTAGAGAGTACTGGTTTTTGGTTGATTTTTGGCCATAGATAACGAAAAAAATATTCATAATCCTAGATTTCCCATGGTTTCAGTCAAGAAATGCGATAGACATAAGTCAAAGAATAATGAAATCCATTGTTTAAAAGTGTCAAAAATGTGTCTAATTTGGAAACCGAATAATTTATTTTGTCAAATTTTCGTTTTCGTGCACATTTTTGTTTATAACTCACCAATCGTACTACATAGACAAACGACGCCAAAGACAAAAATAAAGAAAAAAAAACATTGACAAATAAAAATTCCCCTTGAAGCAATGTCATCCGACGTACGGTTCACATTATACAGGTATTTAAATAATGCCCACCAAAAGGCGGGCTTATGCAGTTGAGGGTTAAATCATTTTCTGAAGCCATTGAAGTTAATAAACTTCGGAATTTAATTTTTTTTTTGTTTATTTAGTTTTGAATCCATTCAGTTCATAATATTTCCATAAAATCAATTTAGAATTATGAATTCAGATTCTAATTTCAAATGTTGGTCAAGTGTAACTAGCGCAAACAAACTGGTTGAACAATTAAATGAGACTATATAACTACAAATCTACATATCTAACGCTGTGGAAAAAATTCTCAATGCATCAAATGTTAGAATAAATTATGGGTCGTAAGAAAGGTGGTTGTGTTTTTCTTTTATTTTGAGTTACTTTACATTCACCAATACATAGCCATCATCTGTTAGAGCTATGTTGTCATGCGTTAGAGCTCAGTACAGATGCACACATACAAATACTAATGCAAATTCCGCATTTTAATTTTCTCCGAACATCCGTCGAACATCTGGCACTCTGAGCCTTTGTGTTGAATACAAATTCGCACACATTTGTAAAATCAGTTTCATACATGTACGCTGTATGTCACATATACAGTATGTGTGAGACCGTAATATACTCTCACTCTCAAATTGCTTCTCTATCATTGTTATCTAAGCCATGTGTGAAACGACAACGTAATACCCACTTCGACGTAAATAAGGACGTGTGTCAATTGTATCAATAGCTTCAATTTTTCATCGCCCATTTGCGTACATCGTTTGATTGATCGAGAAATACCCGTTGATGCTGTCCACAGACTCCTAATATTTTTGCAAAAAAACATAAACCTAGACCGAAATTCTGAAAAATGGCTTTTTGGGCGATTTTTCATTCAAAAGTGTCATTTTACAAGCGTTTTCAGGTCATCAGTCGGAGGCTTATGGTACGAAATTGGTAAATCAGAATGGGCAATCAAAATTAATATGAAGCTTTGTCTTGACACGCCAAAACTTTTGGCTTTTACAGATCTCAATTGTCTTGTCAACTTTTTGAAATATCCGGCGAACAAAATCGCGAACGCGAACGCGAACGACGCCATCCACACAGACGTGTGCAAGGTCAAAAATTCTAGAGGGGGATAAAATGATTTTGCGAGATGGGGGTGACAATTAATAAATGGGTATCAAGAAAAAAATGAAGACCTAAAAAAAGGTCCTCACTTTTGAAAGTAAACAACATGTTTTTGGGGGTAGATAGGTCTTTATCGATAGGATTTGATCCCATTTACAATGCTTAGTACAGATATGTGCTTTTTCAAGTTTAGCGCGACGTTAAAGTGGTCCGAAAGAGGAGATGTCATGAAATTTTGGCTAGTAAAACCAATACTTTTCCTAACAAACAAAGTTTGCGGAAAAGTAATATGGATAATGAAATGAATCAATTTCCGGTCCAAAAAATGGCCCAAAGACTCTTAAAATTTTCTTAGGAAAAAAGAATAACTACAGTAGCCTACATTCCATGTAGTGCTAAAAACACATATTTGGATTAACACTTTATTTACAGATATCGAATTCACCAGGTATCGCGCATACTTCACGCTGAGAATTTTGTTGTTGAACTCATTATTCCTATCCTTTCATCATACTCATTATTCCTTTGATTTTGATGCATGGTCATTGTTGTGATCAAGATAGCGTCCGCTCATCCAATTCATTCAAATTCGTCTGATTTAGTTAACGTTATCATTTGATGATGCGAAATCTTTGTCATGTTCATAAAACATCGAGTTCTAACAAAGAGATGCAAAAATATTTAAAAAAAAATCCATAAATCTTCGTTTAAATACAAAAATCAAATAATTACAATCAACATGCAGGCTCCCAGCATGACGGCTTTCATACGAACGTCCAAATCCATTGGGAAGCTTATGCCAAAGTAATCGGTATCAGTGAAGAGCTCACGTGCCAAACCTGACCATTGTTTTGATATTTTACCAACTTGTGTGCCATCCAGAGAAAGAATCTGTGATTGACAACGGAAGAAATGTGTCAATTTTATTTGATTTTGTCAACAGTTAATTTGAATGAGGAATGTGTAGGTTTTTCACAGTTGATTGATTGAATTTAATCAATGAATCGCGTTTGTACATGAATGAATTGTTTTGAAGAAAAACTCAAATTATGATTTAAACTCGTTTCGTTTTGCGATATCTTACATTAAAGTCGACGTCATTGCCACAAGAAAATTTACATAGTGGCCCTTCAATACGCAAAACAGTTTCGCCGCTGTGATTTTTAATAGAGTAATGTGGATAACAAAGCGTCCATTCTTGTTCAACGCGTCCGATCACTTGACCCGATGACGTCACTTCGATGGATTGCAGGCAACATGGGAAGCAACAGCTTGAACAGGCCAACGGACGATAGAAATGTATGACTTCATTCTGATACACATCCATCACTTTCATGTCATAGGGGCGAACTGAACCGAAGCAATTGCGAGTACAGCAATCGTTATCTTCGACAGCGAAGTAAACCTAATTCAGGGAGGATAATGTCTCAATATTAGAGGAAAAGATCGAATAAAAACGTTTTTTTTTTCAAAAAGCACTTTTGAACGATTTTTTCTTCTTCAATTAAAGAGGTTTTTTCAAGGGGGAAATCACTCAAAAGTAATACCAAATAGAAAAGTAATACCTCAGTTATTTCTAGTAATACCTCTGGTATTACTTTTGATATTTCTATGAAAAAAGTAATACCGAAAAAAAGTAATATCCAAGTAATACCAAGTAATACTGATCAATAGAAGTAATACACCTGGTATTACTTTTGATTTGTACGGAAAGTAATACCAAGTAATACCATTTATGTAAAAGTAATACCTAAGAGTGATTTGCCCCTCGGGTTTTTTGTGTACGAACTAAGCATTTCAAACGAATATAATAACTTTTTAATTAAATCACTTACATTCTGACCCATGGCATTTTTAATGACAAATTTATTGTTTTGTTGGTAGCCCGTGGCCACCTCCAAAAGTCGAACTTTTTGCTTTACTAACAGTTGATCAATCAGCGTCAAATACTCGAGGCCAGGCGGACAATTTGGGATTCCGACTGGAATATTCATCCAACCACCTAGAACCAAATCACAATAGATTGTGTGAATTCGATATTTTGATCTAATTGAGTATGAAATTCATAGTATGAATCAGGCGTGTTGGCTGTTGTCAGTATTGATTAGATTAGTTCATTGATAAAAATGATATTATTAGCAAATTTCAATAAATATCGATTTCGTATTAGACGGCATTGTCTCGTTCACATCGTTCACATCGTTCACATAACTGTTATCTCGAATTAATCACTAGAATGAATCATTCGTTAACGAGAAAAAAAATATGTTCGATAACTTCAATCCATTATTCATTTGACTACGTGACACTGTTTGAAACTGCCTGAACATTTGTTATTGACGCCATTGATTTTCAGCTTCTCATCATTTTTCATAATTGATTTTTCCAATTTGCTAGTTATTCTTTGGACTACACCTTAAGTTAAGCCAAAATATTACACTGACTACTCGAAGGCGAAAAACATCAATAAAATTCACCAAAACGAGTCACTCACTTGGATTTACATGTAGTTGCGGCTGGGTGATGACAACAGTGGATGAAATTTGATTATTTGGATGAGGATAATAGCCCACAGGCACTGGTGAAGGATTCTAAAAAGATTAACCAAGAATATTATTAGTAGAAGAAATATTGGTAATTGAGACCATGATCCACTGCATGATTTATTTATCCATTCATGACAGACGGTAGATCACCAAATGATGCTCCATCATTTAAAATCGGAATATCTTTTTGCTTGTTTTTTCATTTCTTATTTTGAACGATACACATTTTGATTAAAGTATTCTTACATATGGTGGTTGATTGTGCACCTCTGTGATCGGAGGTTGTGTGTAGACATTTGTTTTATTTGAGTAATCCATGAAATTCGAATTTCAGGTGCAAAGAAACAGAAAAATCAAAAAAGTACAAGTGATTTATTCAACGGTTGATAGTGTACTATTGAACTGACAAATGATAAATACCTTACTTACAATGTATAAATAGCCATGATTGGTTTATCTAATCAAGTTTTTTTTTCATACCTGTTGTGATTGTCAGTCTAACTCAACGATTTATGACAATTCCCCTAGATATTCTATGCCTTTTAAAAGATAATGAAATACTCAACCGTTTTTAGCCGTTCCAAAACATGACCAATCGATCAAATTGTTTTCGTTCGGTTTGAAGCCGTTTCAATCAATTACGCTAAAAACAGAGTGCAACAAAGTTCAGACGACTTTCTCGGGACCAAAATCCAAAGCGACAGAACGAAAGTACGCTTATCAAATAACAAAACAGTAATATGCTATCGAATAGCAAGCATTGGTCATATAAGCTCGAGTTTCAGCTTTAGCGCTGCTAAAATTGAATTGAATTTTGAAAATAGTTTAACAAAATCAAAATTTATCACTCCCATCACGATTTACAACTGAATTTTTTGAGTTTTTTTATTCATCCATGACAAAAGATTCAATGGAACAGACAAAGAGAGATCAAAGGAGTGTTTTAGCTATGAAATTAGTTAATTATTTCCTTTTTTAATCCACTTGCTGAAATTTTTAACTTCTATCAGAGTTACATCCTTGGCGGTCCCGCCTTTGCATGTACATCATGTCCTGGAACGAGATGAAAATACAAAATAATTACCAAATCAATTGGGAGCATTGCATTCAATGTATCAGGCAACAGGTCGAGAATAAATTCTATTCATTTACAATCAACATGCATGCACCGAGCATGACGGCTTTCATTCGAACATCCAAATCCAATGGAAATGAAATACCAAAGAAATGAACATTGAGCAACCAATCACCGACTTTATTCAAATTCTTTGAAATCCGGCCAACTTGTTGTCCATCCAATGAGAGTATCTGCAATTGACATCGAATATAACTTGATAATTCAAATTAAAGTTGCGAGTTAAGTTTGTAAATTCTAAGTAATGCACAAAATTCATTTTATGACTATGTAGTAAAACCCTAAATACTCTTGATTTATCAAGTCGTCTTTGAAACCTTAGCTATTGACAGTTGACTTGTACATTGGATAAAAACGATTTGCATTCATGTAGGTGACGTGTCGGAGATTGATTAAAAAAAACAGTTGAATCGTCAATAACTTCCTTGTTCTTTTCTTTGCATACATCTAAATTACCTTAAACTCGACGTCGCAGCACATTGGCAACATGCAAATTGGTCCAGTGATGCGTAAAACGGTTTTTCCATTGTGGTTTTTTACCGAATAATCAGATTTTCATAACGTCCAATTCTGCTCAACAGTTCCGAGAAGTTCACCCAGAGGCGAAATCACCTCAATCACCTGCAAGCAACAGGGGAAACAACAGCTCTGGCATCTCAATGGCCGACGAAAATGAATCATTTCAACTCCTCTGTAATCAAAGACTTTCATGTCAAACGGACGAGCACCACCACACCTTTTTTGGAGACAATAAAATTTAAACGCATTAAAACGGGTGCAACAATCATTGTCCTCAACTGCCCAGTAAATCTAGATTTGAACAGAAAAAATGAAGAAAAATTTGCTGTGTTTGTAAATAGAAAAATAATCGTTTCTTTTCACCTTTTCGCCGTAAATATTCTTGTAATTCAACTGTTTTTGGATGAATTTACACTAATTTTAGGGGAAAATGTGTTATTGCTTATGCGAACGCTCAAGTGGCTACTATTCATATACGTGCCAATACATAGACGCGCACTGGTCACCAAGTCCGTGCAGTTGTATGTATTTATTGAACGAGTTGCTATGTGAAAAATTTACAATACATACAACACATTTTCCCCAAAAATTATTGTAAATTCATCCAAAAACAGTTGAAACCGCTATTTCGCACTGTATTTAGATTACTCATTCCCCTCCGAAAACTTACAGTGCAGATATGGCTGATTCTCGAGAGTGCTGTCGTCTTAAAATGGCTGCTACCATGAACCATACATAGAGAAACAGCGGGCACTTACAGCGATCAAGTGCATCACGACTAATTCTAGTTTGACTAAAGAAACTAATAGATTTAATCTATAGTAAAGGTTTAAACACCTTAGAAGGGTTTCTTCAACTGAATTCGAATACGGGGAAAGAATGTAAATTGCAAATGGCTTGAGCCATCGAATTTCTTTCTGGGTATTCAATTGAAAGGCCAAATAGTTTTCAATGGTTTTTTTAATCACCATAAAGTAGGTGAACACCATTTTTATCATCTGAAAGGAGAAAAATATCCAATCAATCAAAAATGTCAGTAGAAGAATTCAAAACCCTCTTATTAATATGAAGGGCTGACTTACTTCAATAAATGTTTCTAAATCCACCTTGGCAATTTTGAGTTCATGATAAACCATAGGTCGTTGACCATTTTGGATCATCAAAATGAAATACTTTTGCAATTTAACGCAGAGAATTGAAGTTGCTGGCTATGTAGTGGTGCTGGTGAACAGATCTGTTTAACAGCAGCTATTGGTTGCGTGCATATTCGCTGTGACGCGCGTTCGTTCATCTCCCGATTCTCACACACAGTGTTTGTCTCTTGCATTCACACGGAAAGAGAAAGAGAAGCACATACAACACACGAGATACATCGTGAGCGACGCGCGCGTG